AATAGAATGCTATTATGGCTCCAACTGCCCTACATGTAACTGGTACCCAATACCTGATGCACTACAAAAACATGGAAAATGCACCTTGTCAATTATGCAGTGCTATCCCTCAAGGGAAATTCTTTTCCGACTCATAAAACCACCATTTTCCACCTTGAAGCATGAGATTTAATCAAGCGTTTGATATACTAAAAAGGCAAGTATCTGTGAAGTTAAACCACAACTTCCTTATGAACACCCAAATAATATGATAAGCAAATCTACAAGTGACAGATTGTTGCAATATTCCCCCCAATATGAGTCATACATTCACTGTACTAAGGAGAACAATCTGCTTTTATTAGTATCCTCCATTAGAGCCAAACGGTTGCCAAATTAGCCTGCGAGGTTAAGGTAAGGGCCTTCCCCCTTTCAGTTGTAATTTTGATAAGGACACAGTGTGGTCCAAAAGAAAGTTTGAATGTTGTTCACAGCCCACTAATCCAAAGTGTATGGGAAGGACAACAGAGAATCCTAAACAGCTTTACAACGATAGGTGCATGTTCTCCATTTTACATATGGAGAAACTGAGCCTTAAAAAGATGTTGACATCTAGTTTTTCAGAAGCGGAATCAAATTTGCGGGCTGACTTTTAGAAACACGGAGCACCCACAATTCCAACCAGCAGGTGCTTATCACTTCTGAAAAACCGAAGAATTTGGGTACCCAAGGTTAAGGTTACTTATGAATACTGGAGCCATAGTTACTAGTGCAAGGCAACACAGCAAATCCGGAGTTGAAACACCAACCAACATCCCAATTGCTTAACCTCTGCTTTAAAAGCCAATAGCCCTCACTCAGGCACACATTCAGCTTTGTGCACTGCAGGCTGTCCTCCTGACAATGTTAGGCTGAGCACAAGCTTTGCTGTACTGAGGCTGTAGGCTAATTTTTTTTTTTTTATCCTGAAGTACAAGGAGTTGCATATTTCAAGATTAGGCCACACACCTTCAAGTACAGGATAATGCAAATTGGAAGAAATAATTTAAACTACTTGTATACAGCAATGGGGAAAGAATTAGCTGAATCAACAGCTCAATGAAGACATCTGCTCAGCGTGCAGCATCAAAGATCAAATAAAATGCTGGGGTAAATTAAGAAGGGGAGAGAGAATAATGTGGATAAATTATAATGGCATCATGTAATTTCACTTACAATACTGCATTCACTTTCGTTCATCTCATCTCAAAAAGGACATGACTGCAATAAAAAAGGTCCAGAGAAGGGCAACAAGAATTATTAGAAACAGAGTTCCATACGAAGGGAAATTTAAACGACTTTGGATTATTTCATCTGGGGAAAAAAAAAAAAAAGAAAAGAGAGAAAAGAGCATGTTTGACATTATATATATGAAAATATGAATGTTGCAGCAAACTCCAGCCGAACACTGTGGTTTGATATGAGGGGGAAAAAAGAGGAAATAAAAAAAATGAAACTCATTGTAAACCAGGAACAAGGATGTTTTTTAAGATATGGTCAAATTCATCCCTGGCGCAATGCTGGCATAAACACAATCCACAGCTCATAAGCAACCTGGGGAATTCACTGCCATAAGGTATTATGGAGACAAACACTTTACAAATTAAAGATGAGCCTGAAACAAAAATCCCTGCCTGAAACAAAAGCATTTTGGAAGAAGTCAGAGCTAGAGCGCAGCTCTGCTTCAATCAGACATTTATGAAGTTACAAATGTTCGTGACCTTTGTGCTTCGGCACCAAAGCAGGCAACAATGTACGCAGCCAACTGTGCAGTTTTCTCTCACCTCCTGAACCAACTCGCTATCTAGGCCACTACCAGAGGCAAAAAAATAGTAGTCTAGCTTGACTGGCTAATATAGTCCTAGAAGGGCAGCTCCAGCTTTCATTCACAGATGCCTTTCAACATCTCTACCAGTTCTCCTACTTACATTATGAGAATTAGAGTGCTCTTGCATAGTTTTGTTTCTGAAGTGCATTGAGTTGGTGTGTGCGTAAGAAAATTAACGTGATTTATCATTAATTATTAACTTTGTTTGCTAAGGGAGAGGGAAGAACTGCATTTCTACCCCGTAAATTAAATAAAAGAATGCATTAAAGTAGTTATGTTAACCAATCCTTTGACTTATTTATACCAAACACAAAGAATCCGCTCATTCTAAAAGCTTTTTTTGCAAGCCTAAGACATTCTAGAAAAATGAAAGCTTGCAATGCTTTTTAGCACAACTTAAACGCAAAAAAGAATCTAAATGTCTATATTTTTCCGGAAGTTTAATAAATTAAGGTTATTTCCTACATATGGGGACTTTTTACCATCTTGAACT